CCATCATATGACTCTTAGTGACCCCAATGACTTAAAAACTATCTTGTAGAAGCCGTGTGCTATTTCATCTCAAAACACAGAAGACACTGCATTCTACCAAACGTTCAGTGCAGACAGTAGAAAACCACGATTGGCTTTAGAGAGTTTACCTCAGTAAGCTGCGCAGAAAATGGCCCAATAGAATGAAATTATTATGTTTTAAAGCCTAAAGGAAAAACAAAGTAATGGCTAAGATACTAATGGTATAATTTAGAGGCCAAGGTGAAAGGCCCAGGTGCAGTGGATCCTATGAGTAAGCAATTACGTAGATTCATATTTGATAGTTTATATCCCTTCTGCAGTTTAAGGACTTTTCTCTTAACAGACATTGCTCTGATCTGGAAACCAGCAGTATCTTTCTGTCCACCTCTGTTCATTCTGGCTTGTTTCAATTCCTAATCTTATTCCTCCCCACCATATCATTAAAGAAAGCAAAGTTATCTTCTCATGACACGATTATGGGGCATATATAAGAATGAATTATACTAAAAATTCATGTAAATAATTTATGTTAAAATATTTAAATTAAAAAGAACAGTTTCTAAAAAAAATTTCATTCCTGTGGAAAAACAGAATTGGAAATCAATGGTGTTTTTGCATATATACATATATGCATAAAATCACAGAAAGGGTATTTAAAGTAGATCTAGAGGTCTTTATATATCATACTTTTATTTTCTAAATCAGGAGAATCTATAATAGATAGTAATATGAAAATAAAAAGCAATTTGTTTCTACCAAAATTGGATGAGAATGGAGAAGTAACATGATCCACTACAGACGTCACTAAAATCCTAAGAATAAGAACTGGTTAGCCACAGTTTTTATATTAATACATTCTTGAAGAATACAAAATTTAACATTCTTTCCTTTGAATTAATTTTAGCTTATAAATACCATGTGCTTAATCTTAGACCCGCTAACACGAACATCACGTGATGTAGGAAATTTTAATTAATCTTCTATTCTGCATTATAGCAAGGATACCTGCAAAAAATAAGACATTTGTTCCCTAGAAGTTTATTTGCTCCTGTTGGTGCCTTTTCCTCAGGATACATCCAGCCTTGAAAGATCATTATTAGAGTTATCACAGACAATACGCTCAGAATAAGAACTTAAGGCTTTGAATATAACCAGAAATAAGATCTAAAATTTGGAGGGGAAAAAAAGCACCCTGTTTCCACAAAGTAGACAAGAAAAAGGAACATACAATTATAACTCACAGAATTATTTTTGATATGAGGTTTTTAGAAGGCATAAATGAATCCTTAACAACCCTGCAGTACTATGAAGTGTGTAGTTTTCGTTATATACTTATGACTACACCAAATATTGTTTTCAAAAATCCAAATGTATATCTATTTATGGGGACAGGGTACCTTTAAAGGGTTAGTTCTTTTAAAAAGTTTGATAATTTTTTTAAGTTGGGGTATTTTTTTTTTAAAATTGGGGTAGGTCACTCAGCGAAGATAAGTACACCAACCTGTATGTGGTATTAAACTTCATGGAAAATGACATGTAGCTTGATAAAGTAGTGCAGATGTGCTTTAATTGTTTCACCATCCATACCCTTCGCAAAAGTAAAAATGCTTTTGATAGTTATTTGAATCTAAAGAATAATGCCCTCTGCCCTGATACACTTTTGCTTCCCCATATGGAGCAATTTAAATTACAGTATCACTTCAAGAAGTCAATTCTCTATATCCTTGTGACTAGGGGCATTCATATTAAAATTTCAGTATAAAAACACACCCTGAAGAGTTTTATTGCTTGCATACATGATGGCATTATAGATGCCATTGTTACAAAAGTGGCTGGTGGCATTTTTCATTATTGAGCTCCACTTAAAACCTGGAGATAAGTCTGCACTACATTTCATCCTTAATATACCAAATGGTAGACTTTCAATAAAGCAAAATTTACGTTTAAAAAATTGGAATGTTTTATAATGAATAGCAGTTTTTATCAAAGAACTATTTTTTAAATTTGTAGGAAGGGCACTTTAAAGAAAAGATGACTCAGAAAGCACCAAATTAGAGAAAATAAAGAATAAGACCCATATGGAATGTTGGTTTCAACAGGAAAACAATCAATTATTGTTTTAGGTTCAATTTGTCATGACTGCTAGGTGTCTTGGAAGGCAAAAGACATCAATTATTCTTGTAACCAATCACACTTTGAAGTCGTTTGATTTAGTTGCATGCTTACTAAATGGCTAAGTATCTTTTGCCTTCCTCCAAGTAAAAGCATTAGTGATTCTTTAATAAAAAAGCAGATAAGGCTGCTTCACTGCTTCTCTTTGTGCTTGGCTAAAGAACATGGGTGCAATGCAAAGGTGATGACTGGATAACCAGAAATTTTCTTCTAATACTAATATTTCTAATTTTTTTTGAAAACATTAAAGATGATATTAAGAGCATAATAAATATCCTCTTTACATGAGTATTCTTTTGATAATCTAAATTAAATAACATCAATTATTATTGAGCCAAAACTCGAATGTGTCCGTGTTACTTCCATTCCAGGAGAAGAACTTAATGGTATGGAAAGTGTAGTCGTCTTGTTGTTTAAAATAGTTTTCAAAAATAATCTACCCCATAAATGTTCTAATTGGCCCTTACATTTCTATCGTACTATCCACATTTACAAAAGTCATCTTCCGATGATAATCATTCTACATTTTTATTGCTTCTCTTAAGATTAAGAAAGTCAAAGCATCATCTAGAGCTATGGTTTAAACTTCTCAACAATTACCCTAACACACATGTTGTGTACACACACACAACTAGAAAAGAGAAGCAATGTAAAATTTTTTTAGTCTGTCCCTGATATAATAGGGCCTAAGAAACTACATTTATCTCTTTTTGGTTCCAAATACAAGTATTTGGTTTAATGTTAATGGATCATGGCTGGCTCTCCTTTTACGGAGGAAGGCAACCTAATTATGTCAGCCATAATTAATCTATCTGCTCCTTTGGGGTTGGGGCAAAAAAGGGGATATTTCAAATATTTCTTAAAACAACAGGGCCTGAATAAATGTGTGGCAATCTCAAATTCTGAGTGAATCCATTCTACATTTAAAATGTAATCCCCAAAGGCCAAGGATAGTGGGGTCATTCTTGTGGATTTCTAGCATACTGATGCATTAAAAAGTGATAATGTTTGGAGCACGACAGGGTAAACGGGAAAAAAAAAAGAGATCTAATTTACTATATAATGAAGAGCAGCCTCCATGACAAGGAATCATATTCTATCTATTAAAATTCACCGGAGAGGGGCTGGCCTGGAAGCCGAGTGGTTAAGTTCGTGCACTCTGCTTTGGTGGCCCAAGGTTTTGCCGGTTCAGATCCCGGGCGTGGACATGGCACCACTCGTCAGGCTATGCTGAGGCGGCATCCCATATGCCACAAATAGAAGGACCCACAACTGAAATATACAACTATGTACTGGGGGGACATGGCGAGAAAAAGCAGGAAAAAAAATTCACCAGAGGATAAAAGAAAAAAAAATGCTTATACTCTCTTCAATCATCTTGTTCCTTCCCAAATTCTGCCATTAAAATATTGCTTTTCAATATTGTGTCCCTCCTCCACTTTAGTGAGGTGGTTTAAAGGGTTGAGCATAAACTTCCTTTAATATCTATCTACCTCCCTCAAACATGGATTATCACATGTGAATTTTGTTTCATATCTGACAAAGGAATAGGCCCACACAGTTATCTTAAGTGTTAATTATACATAGTCCTCATTTAACCCCGCTTAACAGTCTTATAGAAAAGAGAAACATTACAATAAATGTAGTTTCCATATGTCCCAGTTCTGTGTAAGGTCAGGTATCTTGTACGGTTTAGGTTTTGGTGAAAGTTTTTGTACATGCTGATATTAACTGCTGCAACAACTAAGATTGTAAAAGGTAAAATAACCTGTATGACCTGACCATCCCAGTGACCAAGATGCACTTTATCTCAGAATAATCAAGACTGAAGCATTAATTAAACCCTCATCTTATATTTAAATAGGTATCATTAGCACCTTCAAAGAGAGGCACTGTTTTAAATAGGCACAGAACAAAAGAATAGTACTTTAAAAATACTGTTGGAATTCACTAATATATCCCATGCCACATAAATTACTTTTTATTATAAAAATATCAATAACCTTAGATGTCAATCAGTTAAACAGAAATCATCAAAAACATTTCTTAAGTTTAGAACACTGCTCAATTCCAAGATGAAACATGCTTTATATTTAAAAAATAAATTAGAGACAAGTATGAACCTAAAGCCGAAGAGAAAAGCATGTATAGTATATATATTTTTATATTTATATTTAATACTATATACACATAATTGCTATATACTTAGGATATTTCATTCTTAGGAGTATTTCTACAAAAACAAGTATTATCTTTTCTTAATAAGTTGGAAATTTGAACACCAACAATTTGTCCTTTTTCTTTTGTTTTAAAAGAACATATGTTATTTATGCAGTTGAGCTTTATAACCTAAATTAAATAAGTTAATATTATAGTCTAAACTGTCCCTGTATTTTTTTTTTACCATGGATCTAATTTGGCAACAGAGAGGTATATCTTTCAAACTGTTACAAGTCCTACATGTGAAAGAGAAGACATTAAAGAGTTTCTTAAATGAAAGTGGCCTATTCTAACCTGATGGTGATAGACTCAATTGATACCATTTTCTTCAAGACAAAAGCACATGTTCAAGGAATATCTCATTAAAAATGCTCCATTTTTCACATTATTTCAAACTTTTATCGGTAGAATGGCTCTGCACATTAATTTCACCAAGAGCACATAAACATATGAAAATAGTCCCCCAAGAAATGCATTTATGAGCCTATATTTTTCAACATAAAGTGCTAAGAGATGAACAAGGAGAGCTGGGAATGTCTTGAGCTGTAAACCTGGAGCCCCCGCCATGCCGTGGTCGGCCCTGGAGTTCAGCACTCTGATTTTCTCTTAGGATCAGGATGATCGTCCAAGGCGGCTGGATGCTCATTAGGACCATCTGGTGTCTCACCTGTGACAGCTAAACGGATGATTTTCAGCCATTTCTGTTTCAGTTCCTCACTGTCTGCGGCAAAGCTGTGCACAGACTTGGACTGGGTCAGTTTGAAACTGTGTGGCAGGTCTGCACTCCGTGGCATATCGTCCACAACATAACCCAGGAGTGGAATGGTGGCCTGAGCTCTGACATCCTAGGGAAGAAACATGGTACATAAGAGTGTGGTATGTACTAGCTTACTAGGCGTGACCCTGCATGATTCAGCTTCTACTAAACTTCTTTTCCCATGACCGTTCCACACAGACTGGCACTGTGAGCTCTCCATGCACAGAGATGGTGCTCCAGCATTAGCACACTGCCTGTACATGAGGCCACTGATAATACTGGCTGAATGAATTAATAAATGAGAGCTGACACCTAAATCAGCCAGGAATCATTGACCCTACACCTCCTCTCTGTGAGGGAGCCCATTCAATGCGAAAATGGAAAGAAAAGCATAGTCATCTCAGTGTACAAAACCAGCGAATGTTAATGATGATTTCATGACCAAGCACAGTTTCATTTGGTGTTTCATTTACTCATGTATCAATTCATTTACAGACAGGAAAACGTTATAGGAAAAACAGTGAAATAGAATAAAATGTATACCTTGGCATTTTTAGTCTATATCTGAAAATAAAAAACTTTTCCTAGCCCTTAATGTAGATATAGGCTAAAATACAACAGGGACATTTAAGATTTTGTACATTTCCAGGTGAACGTACAATGGGTTTAAGTGTTGTTTGTTTTTTAAGCACAACACAATCCACAGTGCCTGGTGCTGCTCTGGGCAGACGGCAAAGCTGCTTGTCTGTTCTCCTAGATTTATCTCAGATCCATGCAAACATGGTACTCAAAAATTGTTACTGGATAGAGTTCATCCAAGGTTGATTTAAATTCCCCTTCCTCTCAAATTCCTTTCTTTTTCAGGTATCCCTCTACTGAGGCAAAAAAGGCTTACTATTACAGTAAGTCCCCCATTATCCATGAGGGGTATGTTCTAAGACCCCCCCAATGATGCCTAAAACCTCATACAGTACCAAAACCTATATATACTATGTTTTATCCTGTATATACAAACCTATGATAGAGCTTAATTTATAAATTAGGCACAGTAAGAGATGAACAACCATAATAATAAAATAGAACAATTATAACAACATACTGTAATAAAAGTTATCCTAGATCTTAGCAACCTCAGCATACAATATTTTTTCTTTCCTTATTAAGTCGAGAAATTCACTTTTTCACTGAAAGGAAGAACTTCACAGCTTCTCTATGGCATATGTGAATTGCCAGCAACACTGCTCTTGTGCTTTGGGGCCATTATTAAGTAAAATAAGGGTTACTTCGACACAAGCACTGTGATGCCATGACAGTCAATCTGATACCCAGGACAGCTACTAAATGACTAACGGGCGAGTAGGTAGTGTATACAGTGTGGAGATGCTGGACGAAGGCATGATTCACATCCCAGGTGGGACGGTGTGAGATTTCATCATGCTACTCAACACAGTGTGCAATTTAACACTCATGAATTGTTTATTTCTGGAATTTTCCACTTAATATTTTCGGACCATGGGTAACTAAAACTGCAGAAGGCAAAACTGCGAATAACGGGAAACTACTGTATTTGCTATTATTATAAAGTCTCCTCCTTCTTGCTTCTCCCTCTGCTTCATTCCCTTCTCCTCATGCCCTTTCCTCATTTGACTCACCTTTTCTCAAACCCGCTGAACAGGAATGAGAGAAGGGGACAAACGATTCACAGGGTAAAGAAATGATTGGCCACCAAAGGACTCAACCATTCAAGTAAATACACTTGAATTTTAGTCACTCATTATTTTTCAATTGTAATGAAACACAGGGCCACTGCCTGAGCTCTCCGCTTCCACAGAGGAGCGGTGGGAGGGTTCGGAGTTCAGAATCCCTGCAGACGGACGCGGTTTAGATACCTGGGGGGCACCGTACATGTACAGCACGAGAGGGTCTTGTTTGGGGATCACACACCAAGCTTTCTGCCAAGGCTTGGACTTCTCCATATACTGAAGAAAGCTGCACACCACGCTGTTTCCAGATACTTCTGCTGATTCAATCTAGAAAAATTTAATGAATAGAAAGCGAGAGTGAGAGAGACAGAAATTGAACACAAAATGAACCAGAGAGAGAAATAATTCAACTTAAGGGCACATTCATAAAGTATAATGTGTTTCTATAAAATGTCTCCTGGGACTGTCCCAAAAATGGTTCATCTGCAATTATGATTTAAACACTTGTCCAGACCAATTACTAGCATAGGAAAACATTTAAGTCAATTTTAACTCCTTGCATTGCCAGACCTCGAATTTAAATAAAGTTAAACATTTTGTGACTGCTGAGTATATAGGCACGTTTCCTAGCTTGCTACATGTATTATTTCCTCTAATCCTCACACCAACACTGAGAAGTTACGCCTTTCATTATCTATAAGGTTCAGACATGAAAGAGCTTTCTCAAGATCACGCATTTGGGAATTGCCGTGCCGGCATTTGAACTTGTAACCACCAAGCTATACTAACTTCAACCATGTAAAAACGCAATAGCAAAGAGGCAAATACTGACCAGCAATCTTTGTCCTGGAACCTGAGATAAGAGTTTTTACAGATGAACATTTAAAATCGATTTGATGATAGAGAACACGAACTTTGGACTCCAATTAAGTGTAATGCTCTCTCTCTTCCCCTCAAATAATTCCATTCTTATTACCATATTACAAAAATTTATACAAAATTATTATTACAGTTTGAATTTTGTCAAGAAAAATTTGTGGAAATTTGTTTTCTCTTGTTATAGAAGTAACACTCTCAGTTTTGCCTCTTGGCCTGCAAAGACTAAAATAGTTTCTCTCTGGCCCTTTACAGAAAAAGTTTGTTGACCCTTGGTCTAGAGTACATAATGAATTAGTTGGCACAAAGCAAGTTTCAAATATGCATTATGTATGTTTGTGCATGTGCACACATACATACTTATATTCTATTTATGGACTAACACTATATAGTTATTTGATTAAATGTTTTAACGGAGTAATTGATTAATTTCTTCCCCAAGTATAGGTTTTTCTAGAAAACTACTTACAGATTTTAATTTCATAGACATAGCCTGAAACTCACCCCTTAAAACAAGCTGACTCATTCTACTCGGCCAGTCTCATCTGTTGCTGTTAAGTCTTGAGGCTGTGTTCCTGGGAGCCACTAAAGTGTGTCTTTCTACCCTCCCTGCCAGAGAAAGCCCTACTTTGGTCTGCTGTACAAGCAACATGTATACCCTAAAAGAATTCAGAGTTATACCTGTAGCTTGTGGGCCTATACTTTTTAACCTCAAGTATAGTTTATATGGCTCTATATAGTTTTATGGACCTTGAAGTTTATGATCCTTTTTCAGTTAACAGAAATGACTTTTTATGCTTATACGGCATAGATGCTCAATGAATACTCACTGATTCTTAATAGACCATAGAAATTCTTAATAAACCAAGTATGTCTATGACTTTAGATACATGGAATTTTGATCATGAGCCTATTCTTCATAGACTTTCCAGACTATCTTGAACTTTCTGCCACAAATGCCTTAATATAATTTATTCCTTATGTTGTTAGTATCTTTTGGTATAAAACTCATTGCAGATACAAGCTGCATTATAATTCTCAGATTTGGGGGTCTGAATTTATTTAAAAACATGAGTCAAGTCACTTGTGAGACATTTCAATAATATTTTAATGCAGTTATCAGATTACTGTCACTGGCTATTAAACGATGCTTTTAATGCAGTAAGTTAGAAGAGTTTTTCAGGTAATAAGTACTTTAATCTAAATTTTAATAATTTCATGCAGTGGTTTCAAAGCCAATATAATGAAACGGAGAGAAAAGCTTTTCTATCAAAAAAAATACCCTGTAGGGGCCAGCCAAGTGGCATAATGGTTAAGTTCACATGCTCCACTTCGGCGGCCCAGGGTTTGCGGGTTCGGATCCTGGGCACAGACCTACATACCTCTTATCAAGCCATGCTGTCGTGGCATCCCACACACAAAATAGAGGAAGATTGGCACAGATGTTAGCTCAGGGTCAGTCTTCCTCAAGCAAAAAGAGGAAGATTGGCAGGGTCAGCCTGGTAGCACAGTAGTTAAGTTCATGCACTCTGCTTCGGGAGCCCAGGATTCACAGGTTCAGATCCTGGGTGAGGACTCAGCACCCCTTGTCAAGTCATGCTGAAGTGGCACCCCACATAAAACACAGGAAGACTGGCAACAGATGTTAGCACAGGGCCAATCTTCCTCACAAAAAACAAAACAAAAAGAAGAGAGGAAGATTGGCAACGGATGTTAGCACAGGGCCAATCTTCCTCACGAAAATAAATAAATAAATAAAAATACTGAAATAATTTGGGCATTAGAAGAGATGACAATTAATATTCTAATATTTGACTACAGCTACCTCCACAAAATCAATATATCTCACTCTTAAATGCATGTTGATTTAACATAGCACTGCCCCTCTTCCTTTACATAACTGAGTATAACCCCAAAATTCAGCAATATAGAACAAAAATATGAATCTTGCTCATCATTCTCCAAATTGTTATATACTAAGAGAAATAACAAAATATGTTATTTGTATTCTTCAGCATTACAAGACAATGCTATGTTCCTCTTACAAAAATCTAAAAGATACCCAACATTTAATATTTCATACCTCTAAAATTCCTTTTCTTTTCTTTTCTTCACTGTCTGTGAATCCACTTATTATTTGATAACAGTCTTTACAAACTTTGCTCAATTTACCACCATCATACTCAAGTTGAGCTTTGTAATCAGAACACTTCCAACAAACCACCTTAAATTTAAAAAGATAATGAGAGTGAATAACCATATTTAAAGAATAATAAGATTTAAGCAATAATCAGTTATAGTAGTAATAAGTGAGAAAGAGTTTAATATAAAGGGCAAATTTTTATTAGACTAAGAATATCCACAGGAACATTCGAGTTTTTATCATGGTATTACAATGCTGTTTGTGATGGGTTCCGCTTGCTCATCCTCTCTTCCTGGCCTCTAAAGCTAGGAGATCTTCAAAGGCTTGGTCTGGACTTTTGTTCTTCATGTTCTGGATGTTTCATCAATATTCTCCCAAAGTGAACTCATGATCTTCACTGCCCTCAGCGCTCTCCTTAGCCTACCTCTCACAGTGCTCCCCCTCTCATAGTGCTCCCCCTCTCGGAGTGCTCCCCCTCTCGCAGTGCTCCCCCTCTCACAGTGCTCCCTATGACAGGAAATAGCACAGCCATCTAACCAGTCACGGCAAGTCAGAAACCCAGGAATCATCCTGACACCTCTCTCTACCTCACCCCAAAGAGTCACCACATGACAAAGTGCTGCTAATTTTACCTCCTAGATATTTTCTCAATCTGTCCATTTTTCTACATCTTCCTGATCATCTGAGCCCAAGCTATTGATGTCCTAGTTTGGGCTATTATAACATCATGACTGGTCCTTGTAGCATTCTTACTGGCCTTCAGCTTCTACTCTTATATCCCTCCAAGCTATTTTCCAAACAGCACCAGATTCTCTCTTAAAAATGTTAATCTGATATGTTTCTCCTCTATTTAAAATCCTTCAAAGTCTTCCCTTGGCTCTTGGATAAAGAACAGATTCTTAACCATGGCCTACAAAGTCCTGAATCCTCTGCCCCTCTCACTCTGTGTATCCTCGGTGACACTGGCTTCATCCAGCCCCTAAAGTGCTGTGCTGCCTCCCCCTTTCATCTCTGCTACAGTGAGTTAACTCTTGTTCATCCTTCAGACGTTGACTCAAATCTCACTTCCTCTAGGAACCCTCCACCAACTTCCAGATGAGAGCATGTCTTTTGTCACTGTGTTACTAAAGTTCCCTGTGCTTTGTTTCATGCACTGATTAGAATTTAATCATGTACCTCTGTCATTATTTGATTAATGTTTGTTGCCCTCACTCGGCTGTAAGCCCTCTGAGAGGCTGTCCTGGTATGCTTTGCTCACCAGGTAAACATTTACAGAATGCCGATTAATGAATGACTATAAAGCAAATGCATGTTATTGCCTAGCGAAGGGTATTTTTTTCTAATTATTAGATGATAACTGTTAAAAAAAATCTTTCCAGTTTAAAAAATTATCTTCTTACAAAAAATAAACAATGTAGGAGAGGATGTGGAGAAAAAGGAACTCTCATACACTGCTGGTGGGAATGCAAACTGATGCAGCCACTATGGAAAACAGTATGGAGATTTCTCAAAAAATTAAAAATAGAACTGTATGACCCAGCTATCCCACTACTGGATATTTATCCAAAGCACTTGAAATCAACAATTCAAAGAGATTTATGCATCCCTATGTTCACTGGAGCATTATTTACAATAGCCAAGATGTGGAAGCAACCCAAGTGCCCATCAACTGAAGAAGAGATAAAGAAGATGTGGTATATATACACAATGGAATACTACTCAGTCATAAAAAAGGCAAAACCGTCCCATCTGCAACAACATGGATGGACCCTGAGATTATTATGTTAAGCAAAATAAGTCACACAGAGAAAGACAAACATCATATGTTTTACTCATGTGTGGAAGATAAACAAACACATGGACAAAGAGAACAGATTAGTGGTTACTAGAGGGGAGGGGGTGTCGGGGGAGAGAATAAGGGGTAAAGGGCACATATATATGGTGAGAGACAAACAATAATGTACAACTCAAATTTCACAGCATTATAAACTGTTACGACCTCAATAAAAACAAATTATCTTCTTGCTACCAGAAGCATCTTTTCCCCCAATTTATAGTGGACAAACTACATTTAAGAAATATTAGTAAATCTTTTGGTTTAGATTCACAGCACGTAAAATTCATGATAAAAAGCTTGTTTGTTGTTTTCTCTTAATTACAATGAAATTACTCTAGGATTTAGAAATTAGACATGTCTGATCCGCAAATTCATATCAACTAGTATCTCATTTTATTTTCTAATCATATAGTATTTTGATAACCCACAAACATATTTTTGTTTGTTTACTGATGCATGTATGTCAACACCTGAAAGTTTCAAGCAACCTCAACGATAAATTTTAAAAGTCTTACTCTGAGGAAAAAGAGATGTTTGCTATCAATTTAATTTTGATTATAAAACTGTCTTATTGAGTCAAAACTTAGGAACGTAAGTGAGAATAAAAGAACTATCAATAAGAATTGTTGCACATGAGTATATTAATATATATTCAATCATGACGTCAAAGACCTACTCTTCTGTTTACTTGTTGCATTTTACAAGAAAGAGTGTAATCTTCGACTTGGTTTACAAGGCTCTCTAAAACCTGCGGCTACCTCTCTCCAGCTTCATCTCATGCTTTGCTCCTCCTCACTCTTTCCACGTCAAACAACTCAATCACTGAAAGCCTGTCATCTGCCTTCTCTGGCTTGAGTTGCTGAATTTTGTTAGAGAAAAATCACAGCCATTAAATGGACCAGTGTGTCCTTAAATGTATAATCATGAACCTCTAATGGCACCCAGAGCCCATCTGTGTTTCTCTGCTAGGCTCCCTTCTCCCTGCCCAGAGACAACTACTTCATACTTAGCCCTCTTTCTTGAATCTCCCCACCCCTCTTCCTTCTCCCTTCGTTTTCAGCTGATGACTTGGCCTCATACTTTAATGAAAATATAGATATCATCAGACGTAAATTCCCTCGTTTCCCACCACCAAATCGAAAGCACACCCACATTTGCATCCATCTTTTCCCTTTTTCTTTCTCATACAATAGAGGAAGTTTCCCTCACCCCTCAAAAGCCTGAACTTCCACTTATGCTATAGGTTCTACCTGTTTTCTCAAAGACATCAACTCCTTTGGTTATTTCTCTCTCTTCCTATTTCTTACACCACAATTCTCCTTACTCATTATGCTCCAGCCACATGACCTTTTGGCAGTCTCAAGAATAGACCAAGCTCTTTCCGATATCTGGGCTTTTGACATACACTTTCTTACTGCTTGAACGCTCTTCCTGCCTCCCTTCGTATGGTTAGCTCATTCTCACCTTTTAGAAATCAGTTTACAGAGAAGTCTTCATTTTTCTAATTAAAATTGGCTCCAAATCCTCCTCTGTTACCATTATTCTCCATTTTTATTTCTCGAGTGCTTCCTTCTTGCATTTATAGTAATTCGAAATGCTTATTTGTCTATTTACTTGACTTTGGTCTATTTTCTCCGTTAGAATGTAAGCTATGTGAAGCCAAGGGTCATTTTGCTTGCCATTTTTTCTCTATAACCCAGCACAGTGTTCTGCACATAGTTGTCACTAAAATAAGTTTATCAGTTAAGTGATTTATTGAATGATTTTTTTGGTATTTCCCAAGTTGATGATTTTACAACACTCATATAGTTACTAGCAACCTTAATGACAAAGAACTCTCACTTACATGTCCACATGCCCGACAGTGATGCCTTCTCCTTGTCAGTGCATTGAAAGACTCTTTGCATTTCATACACATTGTTACTTCATTATCTCGGATCCATCGTGGGGCTCTTTTCCCTAGTTCAGCAGTCTAAAAAAAGGAAAGAGAGATTCAATTTTAATAGGAAAAAAAACTATTTCCTTTTATTTACTTATTTAAAAAAAAACCAAAACACTTTGACAACATTGTTCATACCACGTTCTGAAACTCAAGACCCAGGAAAAGAAATAAAAGGTTCAAAGACGTTTAAGCAGTTCAAAAGGCATACACTATTGTATTCATCTAAGAAGGAATGAGATTCTGCCTAAATAGCCAGTTCTAGCATTGCAAAGGAAAAAGCCTGGATGACAAAATGACCAGACAGCTCTTCTGCAATTGCAAAGAGAAAGGAGTGAAGAATTTAACTCAACTTACAGAAACCTCTGAGTGAATGTCATTATCCTTTGCAATTGCATTTCTGAAGGTTTCATGTCTCTGATGGAAAGCATCAATAGTCTCTTGAAGGGCCTAAAATATAAATGAAAGTTAAAGCACACATTAAAGCATTGCATGCAAATTAATGCAAATACTTTATTAAACAAATAACTTTGATGCGAACCACCTTAAAAACTAAATGACCTTGTTCTGATGACTACAATATTGTGCACAATACAACAATATGGGCACGTCTGTGTACACATACAGTTGCCAAAAAACAAAAATGAAAATAGAAATCAGCTTTACCTTGATCCATTCTTCTTTGTCTTGCTCAGAACTACAACAAAACAAAATTAAAGTGAATGCGGAGAACAGTAATGAGTTACATCTGGTAAATAAAACTATGCTTTTAATGTTGGTGTAACTTTCTGGAAAATTCAGAGATTTCCAGGAAGGAGTTACAATCAAAATTAAACAATCTCTGGCAAGTGAACAAATAAATTTTTTTTTTTTTAAAGATTGGCATCTGAGCTAACAACTGTTGCCAATCTTTTTTTTTTTTTTCCTGCTTTTTCTCCTCAAAATCCCCCAGTACACAGTTGTATATTATTTAGTTGTAGATCCTTCTAGTTGTGGTATATGGGATGCCACCTCAGCGTGGCCTGACGAGTGGTGCCATGTCTGCGCCCAGGATCCAAACCACTGAAACGCTGGGCCACGAAAGTGGAACGTGCGAACTTAACCACTTGGCCACAGGGCCGGTCCCCTGAACAAATAAATTCTTATACAGAGTTTTAGACCACTCATTTACTTTGGTACACATAATTTTTGATGGGGAGAGTTAAGTTTAGCTTTCATTAATACACTGCCCTGACAGTAAGTTTAACAACCATCATCTAATTGTATACATCAGGTAACTCTGTAGATCTAGCATTATACTGGATATATAACTAGTGTTCCAATTCACCTTTATGAAAACACATGAGGATTTTAAAGGCCCACCTTAGAAAGGGTTTCGATTATCCTTGAGAACCTAAAATAGCTTTGTAAGTCATTAGGGAGCTATTTAACATTTCCTTTGGTAAACAATTTAATTTTATTTTGCTAGGAGGCTTCAGGCAATACCATACCTAACCCATTATAAAGCAAAACAAAAATTTTAAATGCCTGTAGGAAGGAAGTTTCACAGATTAATGGACCCCAGTATTTAATAATTTTCTGTTGGGAAAAAATTTCCTTGACTATAGTCAAGTCACCTATTTTCATTATTTCATGTCCCGTGCAGTGAAACCAGGGGCCAACTTGCTTTAACTATGCTCAGTTGTCTGTTTGAAAAAGTAGTTAGATAATGCATTACTAAAGCCTGCCCTACAGATAACATCTCTAGTGCTTGGGTCACCTTGGCAATAAGTGGGGTGCTCAAGTCTTTCAGGAACTGAGAGTCGACTCATTGTCCAGTTCAGGCTGGTTGAGACCACCAATTCATCAACTGGGCCTGTGCAGATGACTGATAAATGACCCTTTGATGTCAGGGAGTTAAAAACTCCACCCTCAAATCATGGGAACACTGCCATTTTGTGGACATGTCTTATGAAGAGCCATGAAGCTGGACCATGCTTTCACAAATCATCAATTACCTCACTTGTCCTTAGCTCCTTTCATCTATCCCCACACTTCAGACCACCTTACCCCCTATCCCATAAATAACCCAGAGACCCCATTTTTGGGGAGGCAGATCTGAGATTGATTCTCCTGCCTCCTTGCTTGGCTGCCTTGAGATTAAAACCCTTTCTCTGCTGCAACCTCATCATTTGGTGATTGGCTTACTGTGCGACAGGCAAAAACCTGGTTTGGTAATAATAGCTTACATAGCTGGCTGCTTGTCATATACTACATTAGAAAAATCCCCTTTAGACTCTGGACTCAGTAAAATCTCCAAATTGAGGGATTTTGAAGAGTGTCAAAGAGGTTCTGTTTGTCTGCATGTGTTTGGTAGCTAGGGCTAAGTTTGAGCTCCAGCCTGAATGTCACATGCTTCGGTCCCACAGGCATCACACATGCATGACTCTGGCAGGAGCTTTGCTCCTGTGACACCATCCATCTTTCCAGCAAATCTATTATTGAGCACCACGATGTGCCAGGAATGCTGCTGGAATGTGTGCCTGTCAAATGGAAGACTGCTTATTGTTCACCTGGGGATTCTTAGACCAAGAGCTTTGGTGGAGGGGCTTCAATCTTGCCCTTCAAAAAAGAATTGTCCCTACTGCTGTGCCCTGCCTCCACAAAACCAGCTCTATTAGCCTGGAGCATAGTTATGAGCTGCTTTTAGCCTTTTATATGCAAAGAAACTTGACGAGTCTTTAATGCTTTTTTGTTTCACTTTCTCAGACATGGCAGATTTTTTACTGTTTTGTTTAATTGACTTATTACTATATTTTTATATCCATTTAGCAATAGAAAACCACTGAATAAAAACTACATAAAACTGAATACTTTATATTCTTTTGAATATGGAAGAGGAAGCAGCATGTAAGTGGTCAGTCTTGAGGTTGACTTGTTGAGCAAAAAAAGCAGAACCCTTTTTTCCCAGTTGGCTTCAGAAGTGAATTTTCTTTAAATATCTCCAAATATATACCCAATCTGGGGTTCCATGTAATCCCTCTGACGCTCTAACTTTCTGGGACCTTCAGTGTTTGTTTCCATTCTTGCGAGAGTCATTATAGACTAGATGAAAAGGAATCATTTAATTCAGATCTTCAATTCACCATATAATCATAAATATAACCAGAGCCAGCAGATTTGGGGAAAAAGAAATTTAAGAAAAAATGACCGTGTTTTCAGTCCTAATGGGAATGTATCCAATACTGCATATTAGAACTGTACAAAGTGACGACTGCCTGTACTTAAGAAAATTCCTCATAAGTCAGCCCCATCCTGAAGAAAAAACAGCCCAACTTGCTAATGGAGGGCATTTAGGCAACCCAAGGAACCTTGATAATCTCTTTTCTGCTGTCCAGACACACCTCTTGGGTTTGCAGATTTGGAAGTACGCTGATATTTCAGACCCAGCAGCACCTTCATTCTTCTGCAATGAAGACTTCTGTGATGATAAGAACTATTGATGAGTCCTCCCTGTGGCCAGGGCCAATCACTCAGTGAGTCAACCACTGAGTGAGGACTTGGGTCAGGAGCCTCTAAGCACAGCATCATCCATTCTTCTCTTGGGTTTGATGGCTGGACCCCAAATCCCACCATGACAAGGTAGGAAAACCGTGACATTCAAAGCTAAGACCTCCACCATTTTAACTCATGCTTGAAATGCCTCCTTCTAATCCTCAGAGAAGTCCCCTGGCAGCTCCCTAAACAATGCCAGGTTCAATATAAATTTTCTTTGAGAAATCAAAGAACTAGCCAGCTCTTTCTTCAAACTTTCCCAGCCTGCCACATCATCCATAACTGTAATTTCACCAGTTCCCTGACTCCCTGGGCACAGATTCCTGCTAAAATGATTTATTCTCTTTTGAAAGACTAAAGTTTAAGCTCTTTTTTTTTTTTTTTTTTTAAAGTTTAAGCTCTTATGCAGTTAATAAATACAAATATGCAGGATGAATTCACCTGAGCAGCTAGAGCCAATGCTAAGGAACAGAAGGGCTCTCTGACTCTCCACAGATTCTAGGGTATCAGAGCCATCAGAGCCGTGATTGGTACTTAACCCTATGATCAGTGACCTTCTGGAATATCCCAATTTTCACCATGCTAGGGGGCTTTACAGAATAAACAGATGACAGTCTCCTACAGCAGGGATTTCAGAGACCTGACAGCACTCTGTCTTCCAGAGGTTCACGCGTGAGGTGGCTGTGATCTACTGCAGTGGTTCTCATGTTTTTTTCTTTCCAAACATGGTTATGCTCCGAGGATGGATGCTAGAACTTGAGCCATTTCTCTCCCATTCAATAAGGCACATAAGAAGAGTCACCTCTCCCAGAAGTCATGGTTACTAGAGGCCACTGCAGCTCCAAATGGTCTCCGTCATGTATCTGCCAACTGTGGCAGGAGAATCATCACCTTTTCTACCCTGTCTCCTCCAAACATCCTCCCCATCAAAATGCCACGTCTCATGAAGGCAGAGCCTCTGAAGGACTGAGAGTTAAACCTTCAACATTTAGCATGGAATAACAAACATCTATAAATATTTATGGATCAAAACGAGAGATGAAGGGAGGAAAGGTTAGGAGGGAATCTTTGCCTACCAGACTCAAAATTCTGGCTTGAATGCAACAACTTCAATCTCTGAGCACCTTGTAAATCTGAAGAGTCAATTTAATTTACTGAATGCTTACTCCCTGAAAACCAGGATCCTAGGCACCAGGGGGGAATCAAAAGGGAAGAGATGATTCCTGCCTTTCAAGAGCTTACATCTCTCCACTTATGTCCATCCAGAGTTATCCCAGAGATCTGTACAATCTACTTGGGAAAGATGCTTAGAATTATTCTGTCCTATGATTCATTCTGACGCTTTTGGAAAGCTGTGTGATAGGAAAACTGTGGTTATCTTACCTGGCTTGCAGTTCCAGTGTTCTCTCCTTCCCAGATACCTGGAAAGTGTGTGGGTATTCCTCATTGTGAGTCTCTAGGATTTTCATTCCATCGATGCCAACCCTGGTTCGAACTGTGAATTTAGAGCCCACCAAGCTGAATCTTGGCACACAGTACAGCAACATGTTGTTGAACTGCAAAGAGGCAGAACACATATCAATAAATAGGAAAACAAAGAAGAGAGAGAAAGGTGACCAACATTGAAAGTAGCCCTAGACAAAAATTTCAAGGAATTTCTAGGGAATGTCATACTTTCTACGTGACCAAAATTATTTAAATATTATATGGAGATTTCATGCTTGTATCAAAATTATCATGTTTTAAAAATTTGTAACATATTTCCCTTGTTGGTTCATAAATATTTTGATATTTAAGTAAACCAATCATCATTTCGTACTATCAAGGAAATTAGTTCAATTAAATTCAGCAACAATATATTAAGGATATTCTATGTACTAGAAACTTAAGTTCTCAACTATGTAAGTTGAAGCCGTTAGACAACAAAATGTCTAATTGTTCTCAGAGAGCAAGTCTACAATAGCTGTTAGAGGAAAAGAACATATTTAGTATTTTTACCAATGTACTTAATGTTCACTTAAAAAAAACATGCATATTATTAGTTTAAGTTTCGTTAGAACATATGAGGTTAGCACACTAAACTCTACGTAAAAAAATAAGTCACCATTTTATATTGCCCCATATCTTGGTTAAGAATTTGTCATGTACAAATTAACAGAAAAGTCATCTATTTTAGCAAAAAGTCTTGATCTACTTTTAAAATGAAGGACTTTACTTTGAAATGGAATCAAATTATGTGTAGTGCCTTGTTTCTAGTTAACAAGGAACAGCTCCTGCTAATCAGGACCAAGCAACAATTTGGGGAGGGTATTTAATTCACTTTTGAATATATGAAAATATGCAAAAGAATGAAAGTCTAAATATTTGGGTTAATTTGAAGGCAGATTCCTAAAGAAGGTCCATACATATCTTCCTACTTCATATTTAATGTTTCTAGGGTTATATATATTTTTATACAAGAGCAACTGCGGACTTAAACCCATATGTGCCATGTAACCCCTCATGTCTCAGGATCATTATTTGTGAAAGTCACAGGTTGTTGACAGGATTGAATGAGGAAATATCCTGTTTTCCCAGTCCTCTGGCTCCACACAGCCTTTAAGACAAGAAAGGTTGGCGGATAGTTAAAAGATTTCAACATGTTTATGTGACATTGTCCATTGTACTCATTCTGAAAGCAAATTTCTTACCAGTTGTTCCTCATACGCTATTTTGCAACTTCCTGTAACCAGTGTCATATATTTCATTTCCACACTGGATAATGCCCAAATAAAAAGGCACTAAATGCAGGTCATTAGACATATCTCAGCACCACATTTCCATTTCTAGAAGAGGACACTAATAACCTATGCTTTATCATTAACTGTCCACTGTATTCTCAGTATGGCAATCGTAGTATACAGGATTTAGAGATTTGACAACCCTCTGAAAGGTTCTCACCACCATCCCAGCTTGATTAAGGCAACAGCTTGCCTGCTAACTGTTCTTGTTAACATTGCTCTCTCTCCCTCCTGTCAAGGCCTTCTCAGGTGGGGATCTGGTCAAGGCTGTGAATGGTGCAGCAGGAGCTGGGGAGCTGCCACCAAAATGGACAGGGCTCACACCTTCAAGACAGCAACCACTACCCAATTTTTCCGCAAACTGAGCAACAAGTGTAATGTTATGGCATAAAACTTCTCAGATATCTAATACTTGTACTCAAGCTTGCTTTATAAAGTTCAGCAAAGTCTTGCTATTTTATAGAAACACAAGTCTATGAATATGGAAGTTCTCAGGATTTGCATTTTGTAGTTACGCTCATACAAGATGACAGCCTATCTTATGATATGTTTCTCTCTCCCTTTCGTGCTTTCAGGATTACATTTCCCTTATTACATTCTCTGTAAGTGAGACTGTGCATTCTGAATGGTCAATAAATATATGTTAACCTTACATAACTCAGATTACCATGTATTGCTAATCTATAAATACCTTTTTCTTCTTCCTAGAGGTGAAGGTGAGAGCTCTTGAAGGATACAAAAGATTGTTTACAAAGAAGTAGATGCCATGTATGTAAAAGAATTAGGTAGCTAGTCCTGCTCCGTCTGTGAACCTTGCTCCTGTGGCAAATACCACCGTCACCTTCTCTCTGGGTTTCTACTGATACTCAAAGACGGAGTTACAGTAACTGTAGCACCAAGTAGACAGACTTTCCCTTTCAGTGTAGGAAGTTCCTTTTGTTCGTGCCCAAAGCTCAGAAGTAGTTATGGACCAAGCAAACTCTGGCTGGCGAGGCGAGCTCCAGAAGTGCTCAGTTTTGCTAAAACGTAGAAGCAAGTCTCAATTTTATTAACAGCACAGGGGCGTTCCTCCTCCTTGACTTCCAGTGTTGCTCAGCTATTTATTTCAAGTCTCTTAAAAATATGTTTGACTGACATAATTCATTTCTTTTTTCATTTAAGATTTTTTAAACTTTTTATTTTTCCTCCTTCTCCCCAAAGCCTCCCAGTACATAGTTGTATGTTTTAGTTGTGGGTCCTTCTAGTTGTGGCTTGTGGGACACCACCTCAGCATGGCTTTGTGAGTGGTGCTAGGCTCGTGCCCATGATCTGAAATGGTGAAACCCCGGGCCACTGAAGCAGAACGCGAGAACTCAACCACTCGGTCATAGGGCTGGCCCCTGAAATAATTCATTTCATGTCTCACCAGTGATAGTTTCATGACAGTTTGTTTTAGAAGGTAAAAGTACACCATTGGAGAAAAATCTAAATCTGTCAAGCTGCAAGGAAATAAGGAACAGAATTCCAAAGAGCCAAGAATAAAACCTCACCTCCTGGGTTATTCTTTGGGGCGATTATTTTTTTTTTTTAACTTTCAGATGTCAGGTGTGGTTATTTACTTAGTCAACAGAGCGCCTTACATTAATATAAAAAATTATGATATGGAGGCAAGCAAACATGTGAAGATCATCTGAAAGCCGAAATCAGAGTCTAAATATAATTCGGCTTTTCAGACAAGTGGAATATCCCTAGAGGAGAAAATAGAGAACCAGCCCTCATTTTCTTTCTAGAGAGGAATCAAAATAAAAATGGTACTTTTGTGGTTTCTACATATAAAAAAAACAAGATGCTCTATGGGAATAAAAGTGTGCTGGCAAGAGGAGAGGTTCTCTGACAAGTACAGTACCGGAGGGGGAGGATTAAATGAACAAACACCACAGGAAATGCTTCTCAGATGGTCTTCAAAAGACGTGTGTGGCTTTCCTAAAATTCCTGCCGTATGACTCCACGCTCCTGGGAGGCAACGGCATGATACGTTTGATAGCTTATAATAGCTGGAACAAGATGTGTCCTCTCCTCAAAGTCACTGCTGCTGTCTCCCCCCCAAGGCTCTCTGCCACCTGTCCTGCAAGGAGCTGCTTAGTTTGCTCTGTATCAAGGTCTTCAACCTCAAACGATTTCCAGAATAATTTTCAAATGTGAAAATCAAACCAAGGCATGTGGCTAGACAGAGCTGAAAGTTTAACTCTAGAAATTGTAACACTAATGTGGAAGAGGGGAAAGAAATATTACCGAAGCACCTAAAGGTAGAGACCAAGGGAAGACCACTGACTCCCAGGCATTTTGCCCAGAAATTGTATCAAACATCTCTCTTTTTTTAAGATTTTATTTTTTCCTTTTTCTCCCAAGGTCCCCTGGTACACAGTTGTGCATTTTTCTTAGTTGTGGGTCCTTCTGGTTGTGGCATGTGGGATGCCGCCTCAGCATGGCTTGATGAGCGGTGCCATGTCCGTGCCCAGGATCCAAACCAGTGAAACCCTGGGCCGCCAAAGCAGAGCACACGAACTTAACCACTCGGTCACGGAGCCAGCCCCTAAACATATCTTTTTAATCTGTATTTTTGATGCTTTCATATCCTGGGGCTTTGCTGACACTGGAGGAACTGCTCCTCTCAGGGTTATCCAGTCCCTAGAGATCATAGATAACACACCTGTGCAAGCAACCAACCAAACCAGAGCCCACACCCCAACCATCTCCTCTATCGAGCTCTTACACTCTGGGCCAGTATTCCCCTGCCCTCCACCCGCTTTGTCCCAGAGCCTGATGAAATTATCTGATTTAGAGAATCCTAAACCTGTCTACCTTGCCTTGCCCATTCCTTCTCGCAGAAACCACAATAAAGGTTCTTGTCCCCATTTTCTGCTCACTCCCTCTGCCTCCTGACTGATCCTGGTGCATTCTCGTGTAGCTCCCCGCAGTGTGGCATGCCCCCTCCCTTTGGATCTTGTGAGCCTAACTACCTTTTCAATGGAAATCGTCTCCTGATCTGGTGGCCTCATCACACCTGAATAACAAAACCTACATTTCAAAATAAATAGACCTCTGAAGCCTGACAGGACATTGCACGTCCTTGATTTATATTTAGCTCTCTGTATAACCTCTGTAAGGTGACATAATTCTGTTGAACTCAAATGAAGATTTTTATAGTTAATTTGGACAATATCTATACATTTTTAAAAGTTATTCAGATATAATTCATATACCATAAAATCTACCCTTTTAAAATGTACAGTTCATGGTTTTTAGTATAGTTGTAAATTGTGTAACCATCACTACTATGTAATTCCAGAACATTTCATGACTCCAGATGGAAACCCTATATCTATTTCCTCTTCCCCACCAGCCCTCAGCAACCACTACTTACATCCTGCCTTTATGCATTTGCCTATTCTGGACATTTTATATAAATGGAATCATACAGTGTTGGCCTTCTGTGAATGGCTTCTTTCGCTTGACAAAGTTTTCAAAGTTCATCCATGTAGCATGTATTAATATTTTATTCCTTTTTATTGCCATATAATATTCCATTGCATGGATATAACACTGTTTACTCGTTCATCAGTTGATGGACATTTAGGTTGTCTCCACATTGGGCTATTATGAATAATTTGGCTACGAACATTCATGTTCAAGTTTTGGGCAGACATATGCTTTTAATTTTCTTGACTTATACAAACTAGGAGTAGAACTTCTGAGTCATATGGGGACCAAATGTTCTTTTTAAAAAATGAGGGGTCAGCCCCATGGCTGAGTGGTTAAATTTACACACTCCACTGCGGTGGCCCAGGGTTTCGCCAGTTCGAATCCTGGGCACGGACATGGCACCGCTCATCAGGCCATGCTGAGGCAGCATCCCACATGCCACAACTAAGAGTGTACATCTATGTACGAGGGGGCTTTGGGGAGAAAAAGGAAAAAAATAAAATCTTAAAAAAAAAAGAGAGAGATACTGAACACACTCCCTCTGCTTGAGAATTAGTTCCTATACATTTTCCTTTTAAGGGAGGATGTAACCAGACAACAGAAACCTCTAAGCCGTCAATGACAGCTCATACTATGGCTGGTGAGATGACTGCCTTGCAGCAGAAAAGTCAGACATGAGTAACATCCAGGAAGGTATTGTGTGCCAGTCACTGGGCAGCCTCTTTACCAGTGTGTCTTTGTTTCTCTGCCTTTAATAACAATCATTATAATAGCTAACATTTACTGAGCTATTACTCAATGTTAGCTTATTGTTACTCAGTGTTAGCTATTATTATGATTATTATCATATCATTAGATATAGAAAGGAAGTGGAATTAACAAAGACTAAAAATGTAATGGCCTGAATGTCCCCGGAAGAGCTCTTACATTTGAGATGAGCCTCAGACTAACTGTCACTTCCCAGAAGTGAAGGAAGGGTTAGGGACTGACTGCAGTGAAAGGAACTATGTAGTAGATTCATGTAGTTTTCACATAGATGTTTTAGGCACAAGTTTTACGACCCTACCTATATATTTCTTCCAACTAGAAAGGTTAAAAGTAGCGATCAGAGGGTTTTAGGAAGAGAGATGTTGTCAGGAAATAGTATGCCAACAAAATATCCAGGAGATGGAAACCATTAGCCTGGAAGAATGAAAGGAAAGAGAAAATCTAAACTAAAGGAGGATTTCAGAAAGCATATCATATCCACATACGCACTGATGTCTATGATCATCATGGGAAGATTAAATTGTCTTTAGTATGTGAAATATTTAAAAAAAAAAAAAAAAAAAACCTTACCAAAAGATTTGTGTCCTTAAAATAACAAGTGTCAGTTACTAAGGACATCCCCTTATGTGGAATCCTGACAGTGTTGACTAAACCAGGTAGATATAATTGCTTTTGTCAGCAAGCAAGCATCCTACTTTTCTAGGACATATATAACAATTTCATGAATTATTCCTATGTGACTTGTTCACACTACAATACTCACTAAGAAAAGGTAGCGTTCTTGTGCTGACGTGTTCCGAGCAGCTAGTTTGAGGATCTGTCCTTCTTTTATTAGTTCATTTGAAGGATTTACAATGTCTTCTTCTTCTCCCAACATTTCATAAATCTCTAAGAGTTTCTTTAGGTTCTCCTAGGAAATTAAAACAAAACAGCACGATCAAATGTAAGGAGGTTTCACCTTAGTGGCTTTAACAATACACTGACCTTAGCTAAAATATGGACAATTCAGAAGGGACTGGGACTAAGCATAAATTTTGGTATAAAATGTGTCAGTTATGAGCAAATTGAAACCTGGGAGAAGAAGGGAGAGAATTATTCCAGATAACACTAAATATTTTGTAAACAATCTTTTTCATTCGCTTGTATCAATTCATTTTGGTCCAAACCTGTAGATAGTGTTAGGCTATATTGTTGACAATTACCTAACTAGAAGATTCCTGTCTCCTCTGAAAACCACTTACCATTTTTCTTATTGCACTATTAGAATGGCTTGCTGCTGTAGATATAATTTCAAGTGATTCTAAATGGGAAAAAAGAAAAGTAAATAAATATACTTTGTCCTTACTATGCTGCTAGATAGCTGAGTAACATACACTACAATAAGAAGAAATCTGAGACCAAAGACGCATGATGAAAGCAGGGGCAATTTCCACTTACAAACTGGATACTTTCAAAAGTTCATTTGTAAGTCTGTTACTTGGAACTTGAAGGGTATTTCCTCATTGAAAGTCATATGCAATGGTTAGGCTCACAGGTGTATGTAATCCGGAATGGACCTTCCAAATCGACAAACACCATGTACACTAGTTTGGTACCAGGCACTTTTGCTAGGTGCTTTCATATGTATTATGTCAATTAATTCTTAGACAGCCTTGAATGGAAAGTATGTTAGCTCCATTTGGCAGATGAAAGAAATAGAGAGTAATATGACTTGGCTAAGGTCACACAAGTAAGATGTAGGGCCACATTTGAACCTAGGTCTTCTGACTCAAAGTTCTACAACATTTCAGTAGTAGTAAGGATTTTATTAGTTTCATGAGCAAATTAACTACTGAGCATAACCAACTTCTTTGGGAAAACACTCACAGTTCTAGCCTTGGTCAGTTGAAAGGGAATCTTCAATGCCAATGCCAATGGAGGGTGTTGTTGCTGAGGCAGGTGGTAGGGAGAGACGGGAATGGGACCCTCTTTTGGTCTGGGCAAGGCAGGGGCTCCAGGAGTGCTGGTGAAGGGCTGTGGAAGCTGAGGCCTCCTGCTGGATCAACCCCAGGGAATGCTCTCAATCTTAAACCATGTCCTGCTCCCCTCTTTTCTTTTCTATCTTGTGGATGCTGGTCTGCTAAATTCTGTTACCACAACAACCTCTGGACCAAATTTTCTGTCTTCTTTGTTCCACTGCTGAACAGAATGTACTTTTGCTGCTTTCCCCTCTACTTTTAGGTCTTTAAAAGCACTTCTATGATTTCCTTAGAATTTTAGTGTAAGTAGCAATGGGAAACCAAAAAGAGTAATAAAATACCCTACTAAGGTATTTTATTTTATTTTGCCCATTTTATTATTTTTGACATAGGCATCTTATGTGAAGTCAAAGTCTCTGAGTAAAGAAGAAAGTGAATTATTATTTAAATTTTGGAGAACCAGCCTGATTTAGGCAATTCTGTGTATTTTGTACAGGGTCCAAGGTGGAGGGAGAGAAAAGAAGACGTGCCACTGCCCAAGGGACCAGTTTGAGTAGCAGCAGTAGACATCCCATCTCCAATCCTAATACTAGTTCTGCCACTAAACCAATCACTCAGGCCAGATGAGTGGAAAGTGGGCATGAAGTGGAAAGTGGAAGAAGATGAGTCAGGAAAAGTCTAAACTATAGAGGGAGAAAGGGGAGAAGAGAAGTTCCTGTGGTCACCGACTCACTTAGATGGCGGGAGAAACGTATCAGAGACAGACAGTGCTCAAAAAAAGACCCAGACTCCAAGACCAAAGATTGTGTTTTGTGTTCCTCATCTTTTATAAAGTTTCACTTATAACAGAAGACAAGAAATTATTAGGGAAAGTAGCAATGTTTTAAGATTGTGCACCAGTATTGTTAGTACTTATTGAATACTAACCCATTTCTACTTCTTAAATTTTCATTCTTCCCTTCAGTTAGATAATTTTTCTAAAGTACATGAGAAAGCAAAATTATTATTGAATCTTGAGCTTAAAATGTCTTTCATTATGATCTAACGAAAAAATAAAAGACAACTAGCAGAAGAAGAATAAAGTTTTCTTGGAGGAAATGTTAACTGACACTAAAAAAGAACCATTTTCCCTTCTGTTTTACGTTATGTAGAGCCAACTCTCTTAGGTTATTTTTACATAGTAGATGTCATCTTAGCTTTCCTGATATGCTCAACCTATCTAATTAACCAGCAGCACTAGTAATTCTGAATGGTTGTATTCTTCCTGTGAGAAGGTAATTGTGTATTGCTATTCCAGATGTCTCTAAGACTATAGTTTTGAAATTCAGAGTTAATGATTAACGTGAAACCAGCATGAGAAATGTGATTTGCATTATTCTAAACCTGTGATTTGGGTTCAAAAGTGCTTGCCTAATTGAGGTGTTGATAACAATTCCAGTGAGGCTATTTTCTGGCAGCAATATTTTACTAAATTGGCTGTGAGACCTATCTCACTTTGGAACCACAAGGTTGTTTGGCCACTATATTATCCCATAATGGAAAGGGAGTTAGAGGGGAAGCATTTACTTTTAGCATCATTCCAGTCCAGAGAATCAGCGGGCAATTTCCTTAGGTAGTCCTTAAGGAGCATCTCATACCGGGGAATTCGCTGAACAGGTTCTAGCATGTGATGCTGCAAAGTCAAGCTCCCACAGATCTTCTGTTTCTGTAATGAGAAAGATTTTTAAAGAAAGATTTAAAAATTAGGCTAACCGGTTTACAAAAACTTACTATAATAGAGAGCTTTCATCAAGGGCAATATTTTCCTACAAAGTGTGGTCCGTGCATTAACCACCTACATTAGATATATCTTGGGTGTTATTAAAAGTGCAAATTGTAATCTCATCCCAATCTATGCAACCATGATCTTTGAGGCTAAGGCCTGGGAATACGCATTTTAAAACACCTTAGATTCTTATAACATTAAAGTTTGAGGAATAGTAATCTAGTTTAAGAACAGAAAGGAAAATCAAGCAGAATTTTAAGCAAGAAAATTCCAGATTGCTGGCAACCACTTCAATTAGTCACTACAAGGGTTTGTAAGGTCACATTATTAAATCAAACTCCAGAGGTTTTCAAAGGAAGCATCTATTTAATAAGGTTCACTAAGCACAACTGTATTAAATGACTTTGTACCCAGCAGAAACTATTTCATAATAAGGCTACCATGAAAGTCATTTCCTTTGAACTTAAAAAAGACTCCACAAAGAAGAATAAAGAGATCTGAGCATCTTATTATCTGTCAGAAAATTTTAATTTTTCATTAAGTCAGGACATTCTTTTCCATTAGAAACCAAACTCTGTAAATAGATCTCCTTTTCTTAGGGCGAAATTGAATCTATAGCACTGTTTTCACTAAGCTGTTAACATAAGAGAGGGAAAGATTACTTGAAAAATAAGATGTATTCTTGTGCACATTAAACAAAGCAGGAATCCTATTAAAATATTTATTGAACTCATACCGTGATCAAGGCACTGCAGAGTATAAAAGTTGTATTAAGACATGGTGTTTGCATTCAAAGCAAACAAGAAACTAAAGGCTTCACAGAGAAGGGAGCATTTAACATGATCTCTGATGAGGGCAGGCTTTGGTGGGAAGGGAAGTGAGGAAGACCAGAGGATAAGTGCGGGAAGAGGGACCTTGAAGAACAGGCCCACGGTAGTGGGGCAGGAAACGTTCAGTAAAAGGAAACAGTTGAGTTTTCTTGGCAAATAAGATATTTACAGGGCAACAGGGAATGAGAAAGAAAAGGCAATCTGGGGTAATAATGTCAGGCTGACTTCAGATTTGTTTCACCTAATGCAGGTTTTCATGGAGGAGTTTGAGATCAGATTTGAGCTCAATTAAGATGAACCTACTACAATGTGGCTTTAGGGAGACATGGAGAAACTAGTTTGGAAGTTAAAATTGTAGACCAGGAAAAAAGTAAAAAGAGCCTGAAAATGGCATGGAAGCTGAGGGCTAATGGCTTTCCTTAATAAAGTATAAAATATTAATATGATAAGTTTAGTTATCTCATTTGATTTTCTCCACGAACCTATTGTGTGTATATATATCCTGGAAAATATTACTGATCCCCAAATTTTTAGATGAAGAAACTGCATCTCAGAGAAGTTGGGAGAGTTTCCTAAGGTCAAGTGACCATAAGTGGCAGACTAGGATTCTAAACTGGTTAGTTGATTCCCAATTTAGCACTCTTTTCACAACCCCATCATTTACTCATAATAGGGAAAGGATAGACACTGCAGAGAAAGAATTTTAAGATTTGATAAAACAAGAATGACTACCATCACCATCATCATTTAGTGAGCATTTACTATGTAACAAGCTCCATGCAAAGCACCTTGAATATATTATCTCACAGGCAAATGAACACAGATAGAGAATGAGGAAAAGTGATGAATCAGGGGTAAATCCAAGTTGTCAGACTCTGGAGAATGAGAGAATATTGGTGTTGGCTAATAAATCCAATCACATGGCCACAAGCTACTCTGTGCAAGCCACAAAAAGTCAGATGGAAAAAATGTTTAGGAGCTAAAAATAGGAATGGAACATGTTGATTTTGTTTGATAGCAAGATGTTCATAAAGAATTGTGTAACCAGCACTCAGCAATTTGGGGTAGAGGAATAGACTAGAAACAATGATCCTAGAGGTATCTGTATGACATAATGGTTAAAGGCTTGGGGAAATATGACATCATTGAAGACGTGAAGACAAAGAAGATTCAGGAGGGCAAACCTTGTATTCTGTCTACCTTTCAGTATTAGCAAAAGGAGCTGGCAAAAGAATCAAAGAAGGAGCTAGTGTTTAGAAAGCTAATGAGTGCTTATTCACAAGAGAACAGAGATGTTCAAAAAAAGGACTGAAGGGGAAGAGGCAAGACTTTGGCTATGGCTGAGTGAGGAGACGTAATGACCCTCCCTGTAAAAAGCCATGATAAAGCTAGAAAATTGATAAAACTATCATTTCAGCATTTTGGAAATCGAACAAAGGTGTATAACAATCTGAAAAGTGTTCAGGCTTTTAAAACTGAACTTTGGGTAAGAAAAGCGAGAATCTGTGTTATTCTGGTCTGGGGCTACCCCCATTCCTTTCCCAGCTCAGTCAACATGAAGGGTCTACCACGGTGGGGCAGGCTGTAAGGACTGGCAGTTTCTCTGCTGAAGCTGAAGAGGGCTCATTTGATTTGCAGTGCTGGGTAAGGCACACACCCAGCAACATTGTGAGTGGAAGATCTCTACGGTGGGCAAATGAGGAGGACCAATGGCTCTACTAGCCTGAACCTGTGGTTGTGGGTGAGATAATCATCTGTTTTGCTGAGGCTATGTGAATGATCAGCACAGACCAAAGAGAGCCTAAGCCAGCACAGTCCTCCTGGCTGCCCTGAGGCTCTGAACATGCAGATGGGACATGTGAAAGGCCCAGCAAACTTGAAAATGGCTTGATTTTTCAACATGCTCCCCTATCCATAGACAAGTCCATCAGCAGAGGATAGAGGCCTAATGGCTCTAGGTAATTAAGCACCTCTGTTCAATAATTCTTTGACTCCTAACCTAGACTGAATAGGGGCAATCCTAGAGAGCCAGGATCACATATAAATAAGAATATGCAACAACAAACTGAGACAAGACATTAGCAACTGCACACCAAGGGAGAGCTAGATTTCATAGATTTAGTCTAAGCAAGTTACTAAACAAATAAAAAACAACAGACACTTTCAGTGGGGGGAATCAGAATCCAGAGTCGCTACAGTAGGTTATCTAAAATGTCCAATATTCAGCAAAAAATTATGAGCCATTCCAAGAAATACTATGTGTTATTTATACTGAAGAAAAAAGGCAGTCAAAAAAAATTGTCTCTGAATGCAGTGTTAGATGTAGCAGACGAAGACCACAACATAGCTATTATAAAAATGTTCAAAGAAATCTTATTTGAAAAGCATGAAAATCATAACAACAATTATGCACAAATAGCAATTTTCAAGAAGGAAACAGGCATTCTAAAAAAGAACCAATGGGGGCCGGCCCCATGGCACAGTGGTTAAGTTCAGCACGCTCCACTTCAGTAGCCCAGGTTCATGGGTTTGGATCCTGGGTGTGGACCTACCACTCGTCAGCCAGGCTGAGGTGGCAACCCACATACGAAATAGACAAAGACTGGCAGCAGATGTTAGCTCAGAGTAATCTTCCTCACCTTAAAAAAAAAAAAAAAGAACCCATGGAAATCCTGGAGTTGAAAAGAACAATGGCTGAAATAAAAAATTCACTACAGGGACTCACCAGCAGATTCAAGATGGCAGAAGAATCAATGAATTTGAAGAAAGATTAATAGAAATTATACAATCTAGGGGCCAGCCCAGTGGTGTAGTGGTTAAGTTCATGTGCTCTGCTTTGGCAGCCAGGGGTTCACTAGTTCAGATCCTAGGTGCAGACCTACACACTGTTCGTCAATCCATGCTCTGGCGGCATCCCACTTAGAAGGACTAGAAGGACTTACATCTAGGATATACATCTATGTACAGGGGCTTTCGGGAGGGGAAAAAAAAGAAAGGGAGGAAGATTGGCAACAGATGTTAGCTCAGGGCCAATCCTCCTCACCAAAAAGCATACCGTAAAAAGAAAAAAAAGAAAGAAAAATTACACAATCTAAAGAACAGAAAGAAAAAAAGATTGAAGAAAAATGAACAGCCTTAGAAACTTGTAGAATAGCATCAAGAATTCTGATGTATGTGTAAAATATTTAAAGAAATATGGCTGAAAACTTCTCAAATTGATTAAAACAAAATTAACCTACACATCCAAGAAGCTAACCCAATCTCAACACAATAAATACAAAAAGATCCACACCTGGACATAATATATTCAAACTGTTGAAAGCCAAAAACAAACAGAAAACTTCGAAAGCAGCAAGAGAAAAACAATTCATCACATACAGAGGCATATCAATACAATTAATGGCTAACTTCTCATCTGAAACAGTGAAGGAGAAAAAGCAGTGAAATGACATTCAGATTGCTGAGAAAAGAAAATGTTAACCAAGAATCCTGTATCCAGTAACACTATCATTCAATCGTGAAGAAAAAATAAAGATATTCTCAGATAAACAAAGACCAAGAAAATTCACTGCTATCTAATATTTTACAAGAAACACTTATCACTTTCATACTGAAAGAACTTACTCCAGAAATGGTAAATATATGGATTAATAAATATATTTATTGATACATTTTTTCTATCTTCCCTTAACTTCTTACAAGACATAAAATTGTATTAAACAATAATTATATCACTGTATTATTGGATTTAAAACATATATAAAGGTAATATATAGGACACTAATACCATGGAGCATGGAGGAGGAAACAGAGCTATCATGGAGCAAAATGTCTATATTTTACTAGAATTAAGGTTAGTATTAATCTGAAGTAGAATGTGACAAATGAAGATGGATATTGTAATCCCTCAAGCAACCAGTAGGAAAATAACTCAGGAAATAGTTTTAAAATTAGAGGAATTAATACGGCAAGTAAAAAATTAACACGAAAGGCAGCAAAATAATCCTTACCCCAAGAATCTTATGTGATCTAAAGAATTCCTTTTCAATATTTAAACTTCAGCAAAGAATAAGTTATTAACAATTTTGATTAGAGAATCAAATAGAAATCACTATGGCTCTAGTGAAATTATTAATCAGGTTTGGTGAAATTAAAAAAAAAAAAATCAGGACACATATATAAAGGGACCAAAAAAACCAGAATAATGATGTTTCCAAAATGTCAGGGTTTATAGCGATCGTTCTTTATATTCATTTATATTCCTTCTAACATCTCAATCTCTGAAAGAATGTAAGAGAGGCACAGACCTGAATGGGAACTCACTTGGTAAATTTATGTGGACTCTGATAAAGCTAGAATCTCCTGGTCTCAAAAGCAAATGAAGAATTTACTGCTCATTACAGGGCATGTGCTCAATAAATATTTTAACTTTACAGAGATAATTTTGGCATAATTCAGAGTAGAATGGAATTTGGCTAGGTGTCTTAGACAGATTTCGAATCTAAATTTTAGACCTAGAAGATCTTATGATTGGTACAGAAAAAAATTATAGCCTGAACAAGAGTCCTATTACCTGAATTTCTTCAACTACTGATTTGAACTGGGGAATACGCTCTGTCATGTTTTTAACCAATTCCATTGCATTATCAAATCCTTTCACATATTCTCCATACATCTTAAGGAATGGCGCCAATTTCTGAAGGATGTCACCAATTCTAGGGGTAGTTTCCCTGTATAAAATATAGAAACAAGTCATTATGATTTCTTACACAATGAGTGAATTAACAGGACTCTAAATGAAGTAATCACTTTCTACACACACTACTTTATCAGATCCACTCTTCCGTAAGATTTGTAGAGAATGAAGAAGCACCTTTTTAAAGGGAGTTTAGCAATGACGTAGTAAAGAGAGATGCTGTGGAATTCTTGAAGCTCCAATTACTCCTAATATCTTGTCTCCACTAGTTAAAAGATAGTTTGGAGAGTAGAGATGAAATCCTTTTTTTTATTATTTATTTTTTTATTGCAGTAACATTGGATTATAACATTATATAGCTTTCAGATGTACATTGTAATATATTTCGAATTCTGTGTAGATTACATCATGTTTACCACCCAAAAACTAATTATAGTCCATCACCTCACATGTGAGCCTAATTACCCCTTTTGCCTTCCCCCCTCCCCCTATGGTAACCACCAATCCAGTCTCTGTTGCTAGGAGTTTGTCGTCGTTATTATCTTCTACTTATGAGCAAGATCATACGGTATTTGACTTTCTCCCTCTGACTTATTTCACTTTGAATAATACCCTCAAGGTCCATCCATGTTGTCACAAATGGCTGGTAGAGACTAAATCCTTTTTAATTAAAGCCAAAAACATACCATAACTTCATCAGTGGCCTTTAATCTAAAAATTTAGCGCAAATCTTTAGCTACAGATCTGTGTAGCATTATTATTTCAACTTAAAAGCTGAAAAACAGCATCTAACATGACTATCTTATATCTATCATTTGTTGTCTCTTACCATTCTTGCATTCGTTTCTCCAGCTCTGGCAATAGGAATTTACTATGAAAGGCATTTATTGATGAAATATTAGAAAAGATTTTATTCACCATCTCTGCTGGAAATGACCCTCGATTTGCTTCTTCCAATAGTTTGCAATAAAATACCTGAATAAGAAAATAAAGCAAACATTACTTTAAATTTATTAGTTTACCACCTAGCACTGTGCTAGGCACATAGTAGGCTCCTAGTAACTTTTTACTGAATGAATGAAAAAGTTCGTGGTCCAAGAAATCAATCATTTTTTAAATGTAGGAGTGGGTATATGCTTTGGTTGAAAAGAAACAGCAATTAAAATTAGGAAACTTTGACTCTAACCTAGGCTATGCCTCTCTGGATGCATCTGTGGGATGTTAGCCTTTCTGTGCCAGAGAATTCCCAATTGAAGTTAACAAGATTTACCCTTCTTATCCATAAGTAGAATTAAGAGATATTATATATTAGAATTAGATAACTATATATGCACAATAATTGTGGTATTTTTTCATCCCTCTTTATGTTTGAATGACTTCTGTGGCATTTATTACATATTGCCCTTTACTGTAATTTGTTGGCATATATTTCATTTTCCCCTTTTAAAATTGTATACTCTCTGGGGAGAGAGGACATCATCATTTAGCTCCCACAGTAGAACAGGTGTTTAGTAAGTATCTAGTCAATGGATGAACAAAAGAATATTTCAGTTCTCAGATGTTTTCTTGCTTTTTAGTAAATAATAATGCATGATAACTTAAAATACTGATATGAGGATAAAAAGAATGTTCTCCTGTACATAAGAACAGGTATCTTAAAGACAGTTTAAAAAAACCAACCCTGCAGTCTTAGCTATTCTCCACTAGGGCCACTATTCCTCTTACTTGCCATTCCATTAAAAGTAGGCAGAAGGAGGTCTGTGCCTTCAAAATGTCCAGATGGTTGTTAATTTTCTAAATTCACCTCTACTGCATTTTCTTGGGAGGCAAAAAGAACACAAAATTCTGTCCTTAGAGACTCCAAAAGATAGGATATTGTAGCAATTGAGAATCTCGGACTCTTAATAGGTCAGCAACACTAGCTGACAAGTTAACTGTTAAAAAAAAGAGGAAGAAAACCCCCACATCTACACCATGAGAATACCTAGAAGTTTCAGGTCTGCAATCCCCCTGGGGAGAAAAGTTGTTTCAAAGGCACAAACTCAACATGAATTGATTGACTTATGGGAAATTCTTTGGGAAGTGAGTATTTCAGTCACAAATTCATTATTTCAAAGAATGTAAGCCTTAATCCAGCCCTTTAAGTCTCACCCTAACAGGGACGTAGTTTGCTCTAGGAACAATGATAAGGAGGTGTGCCCAGGACAGCCTGCTCCCATGAAGTTCCAGTTTTCCAATGGCAGAAGTGGGACCATTCTTCATACACTAACATTCAACCATGGCAACTTTCTCTCTGAATCAGAGGAGTCTGTATTAGCAGACAATCTACTAATTATCTTCTTTTATCACTGAAACAGGATTAAGAGGTCTTAGTTTTCAACAATTATTCTTATGATGCATTTTAAAACTTCTTTTGCAAATGTATACCTGAAATGACACTCAAGTCTCGGCCATGATGAAAGAACAAAATGTGGTAAGGTAGATTCACGTATTCAACAAATAATGACTGTACAACTTTATGCCAGGCACTGGACCAAATGTTTCACACACGGCTGAACGACTGCAGCAATCCAGATGACGCACATAGGGCCAAACAGCAAATGAGACAGACAGACTCAGTGCTGCATTCATATTAGCATTAGAATCACCAGTCTCTTATTTGGAGTCTCCAATGTCGTAGTAACATGGCCCCCAGGATCATAATAAAGTCAAGAAACAGACTGGTGTTTAGGGTTGAAAGATACAGATAAAGGCATTTTGTGACATGTACAGAGAGTCCTTCAATCTGTTCTTTACGAATTATAAAACCTTTATAACTAGTGAATTCCCTGCCAAAGCTGAAAATGTTAGAGATTTCCTTGAGGAAGTAGCTTTCACTGGCCAAAAATGGTCAGCCCCTTCTTGTGGTTTCTAAAACATTTTAATTACTATGTTAAAATGATGTGCAATGCCAAAAAATAAAACAATTCTGAGATGGAAAACATTACCTGATCTAAGAGGTCAAGTCGGTTGACGTAAGCTCTTTCTGTAAGCAAAAGTTCATTGGCTATTTTGTGAAGCTTTTGCTCATTAGTCTCCTAAAAATAGAATAGATATTCACATATGAGCAAATAAAGCTTGGACAACATTTCTCAAGTAATAAACACCTTATCAAATGGTTTGATCAAAATAGTTTTCTCAAGCTTCTCAGGTCCCCAATTCCTTTCAGCCATCAAGGAACATCCAACCAGAAATGAACAAAATTAGGAATGAGCTATCTGCTAGATTTACCCTATAACAACCTCTTTAAGTTATAACGTCTTCTTTGACCTCTTTAGCAATTAACACTATTGTTCATCTTTTCCCTGAAACATCTTTTATCTTTTTCAGTTCCCAGACACTATACCTCTTCAGTTTTTCCATACCTCTTTCAGGCTAGTCTTGGACATGATTTCATCACTCTCTCAGACATCTTGTTTAATTATTAGGTCTTTGCACCGAACTTTTGGCCTTTTTAAAAAAACATTTTCCTACGGAAATTTTCAATCATATATAAAACTAAAGAAAATAGTAAAATGAACCCCATGTGTCCATCACTGAAATTCAACAACTGTCAAAACTCATCACTAATCTTGTTTCACCTCTGCCCCCACCCATCTCCCTCTACTCATATTATTTTTAATTAAATCTACACTTTCTTATCTCCTCAGCATATATTTGCTTAATCCTCTAATTTATTTGTGTAACCTTGTTAGTTCCACGAGGACAGGCACATTTTTTTCCTTGTTAACTGCTCTACCTCCTGTGTCAACTATAATGCTTCAATACAACATTAGTACTCAGTACAATATTACTGACTGTATGAATGAGTAGCAGTCTCACATACCTATTGTTGGACACATTACCACTTTGAACATGCTGTCAATGTAAGACAAAACTCATCTTTTCTGGAAAACCCCTATCCTACCACACCCTCCACACCCAAACGTTACCATCCTGGCAATGGTTCCGTCCCTTTCCAGTTATCTAATTTGGTATCTTGAATTACTTTGAATTTAGTCCTCTACCACAAAATCCAGTCAGCTACCAATTCCTACTCATGATATTATGTCTTTAGCATCCATCTTTTAAGTTCCCGTTGTTGTCACCCTATTTTGCTCATACCACATCTCAAGCCCAGGCCAATCAATAGTTGCCAAATGTTCTGATTCTACTATTTTTTGGCTGTCATCCACCTTGTATATTGCTATACGAAGACTCTTTTTAAAACTCTGCTTTGCCCAGATAATCCTGTTTCCCATAGAAAGAAAAGCCTTCAATAGTCCTCTCACCAATAGGATAAAATCCAGACTCTGTATACCAGTCAGGGTTGTTGAAACTTTGTCTCTATTCACTTCCTCAAACTTCTTCTCATTGTGTCTTTACAGGTACCCTTCCCTCCAAACGCACTGATCTATCCACCTTGATCCAAACACATCCTGGCCATCTCCAAGTCTTTCTTCTTTCCATTCTCTGCTTGGCATATGCTCTTGCTCTATCTCTCTAGGTGTTAAAGACCTACTTTCCTTTTGATGGCCTGCTGAATTTCCATCCCTTGTCCATGGAGCCTTCTTTAACCATCCTAAGGCCTTGGGCTTGGTCCTATTCAAATGTATTTTTTAACCAATGCCTAATTTGTGTAAATGCTCCATTTGAAACTGTGTATAAAATGCTATTAAGCTATATAAATGCTTCACTGTGTTCAACATATATGAGATCTACCTTATGCTTTATTTGCAATATCACTCTAATGTGGAAAGTTACCAAGTTGCTTCTTGCAGCAGCACTGAAATGAGGTATTTTTATGTGAAGTCTTTAGGTAAAGTAACATAATACTGCTAAATAATTTGTGGTCTTATAAATACTGAAATAAGAACCACGTAGTCATCAAATTCCACAAGTAGTCAAGGTTTTGGTTTAACAATAAATTCAGGATAAAGCACTAGCATTGTTGCTTGCCTGCCTGGCATCCTTTGTCCCCATTTCTTAATGGTATGCACATTTGGTTCATATATCTACCCCACTACTATGGAGCCTTTCCTTTGGGGAAACTGATCTCATTCCCAGATCAAAAGGGAGCCCTGAATGGTGTAATAATCAAGAGTACACAGTGATTGGTTCAGGAGCCAGTGAGACATGAGGGAATATGTGCTGGGGGCTTTAGCAAGGTTGAGTATTACTGGTGTTATTTGTAGCTAGAAGCATCCTGATTAATACGGAAAACTTAAATACTATGAAACATATGTAGTATATTCTGTGAAATTGAAAAACTTTCAAGTAATTTTTTTTTTTTTTGAGGATGATTAGCCCTGAGCTAACATCTGCCACCAATCCTCCTCTTTTTGCTGAGGAAGACTGGCCCTGAGCTAACATCTGTGCCCACCTTCCTCTACTTTATATGGGGGATGCCTACCACAGCATGGCTTGACAAGCACTGTGTATGTCTGCACTTGGGATCCGAACCGGTGAACCCCAGGCCACTGAAGCTGAACGTGTGAACTTAACCACTGCACCACCAGGCTGGCCCCCTCAAGTAATTTTTAAACAATTACTACTTATAGAGGAGAAAGTAAAATAGTTAATGAACTAAAAATGTGACTTTCAAACCTGTAATAAGTGAACATAAATACACAGTAAATTCATAAGAAATCTACCAACATTTCAGAGGAAGATAAAGTATAGGAATATGCTATTCTACACACTCAAAGGAAATACTGACCTCCATCAACACCACACACCATTTGTGTTTGTTGTGTTTTTTTTTTTTTTAAAGATTTTTCATTGTTTTTATTTTTCCATCTTCTCTCCAAAGCCCCCCAGTACACAGTTGTATATTTTAGTTATGGCTCCTTCTGGTTGTGGCATGTGGGACGCCGCCTCAGCATGCCTTGATGAATGATGCTAGGTCCACACCCAGGATCCAAACCAGCGAAACCCTAGGCTGCCGAAGCAAAGCACAGGAACATAACCACTCGGCCTTGGGGCTGGCCCCTGTTGTGTTTGTTTTTTTTTTTTTAAGCCAGATTGAGATAGAATTTACAAATAGTAAAATCCATTTTTCTGGTATATAGTTGTAGGAGTTTTGACAAATGCTTACAATCATGTCACCACCACCACAGTCAAGATACAGAACATTTCTAGCCAGACTTTTCTTAGGTCCCTTTGTAGTCAACTCCACTCCTCTCCCACCACCAGCTCCTGGTAACTGCTGATCTGTCCTTTTCTAGAATGTCGTGTAAATGGAATCACACAATATGTGCCTTTTGAGTCTTGCTTCTTTCCCTTATCAAAATGCATCTGACATACATCCATGTTGTTACTAGTATTAGTAGTTTGTTCTTTTCAAGCCCTGAGTTTTATTCTAATTTAATAGTGGTGATATATCTTTTTGACTCACTCACACTCCTTTGTATGTTCAGAGTCTAGTTTTTACAAATATCTTTAAAGAAAACAACCCAGCGGAATTTGTGCCATGGTAAAATAATGAATCTTTTATGAGTCAGAGAATTCACTAACCAACAAGTCATGCTGTCTATTACTGCTACGCAATGAAGTCATCCCTGAGGTCTTCCACATCCTACAGGGTCTTAAATAGGAAGCTTATAAGAAACAATCTTTTGCTGACATCAAATCATACTTTAGCTGAATGTGGCAAATTGTGGGTATCCTGGTCATATTTTGCAAAATCTAAGGGAATGCCAGCAGTTATTAGCAAAAGCTATACTCCTTCCACACAGATGGTCATGTAACGTTAGGTCTCCAACCTTGCAAAAGCGAACACAAAGATAAGCAAAAGTCAGCTTGCTGACATACAGTTTAACCACTCGGTTACACATAGATTTGGGAAAAGCTGCTAGTGATTTTGTGGTGGAGGTGAGGAAATCAGGGACTCACGGAGCCTTGTTTCAGGTTAATCACAACAATAATATTGTCACCATAAAAAGAACAGCTAATCTATTCACTGATCACTTATACGTGCCAGGCGCTAATATATGTATTTTACATAAATTGACTAATCCTTACAATGACTCTATAAAATAGGTGCCATTATTATTCCTATCTTACAGGCAGCACACACACACCCAACTAAACAAAATCCTGAGGCTCGAAGAGGCTAGGAGACTTGCCCAAGATCACACAGTTGAAGGTAACTGGATCAGATTCTGATCACATGGAACAGTACGTGATTTTAAGGAACTATTTAGTAAATAATTGGTTTTCCCTCTAACCCTTCTTTGAAACAACAAAAAGAAAGACTGTAATAAGTGCCTACAAGCGAACAGACTAGCAAAATACCAATATCCACTTAAAAGTAGAATGTGGTACCTACTATGCATTTTAATTTATAGATTAAGTTTTCAACATAAATTCTATTTGAGGCTGACTTTTCAGCATTTTAGTAATAATTATCAGGTATAAAAAAATCAGTCATATTTCATGTAATTAATGATGGCTTCCAAGTTTAAAAAATTAGTTTAGTTACTGAAACTCATCTCTGAGTACATTTAGGGATGCATGGGGCTCTATTACTCCATTAGACTTATGCTTAAATAATGGACAAAGTAGTTTTTAACTTGCTAGTACACTGGGGCTGTAGCCTGATATTTTTTTAAATAGAAAGTTAAACAGGGGGCTGGCCCAGTAGTGTAGTGGTTAAGTTCGTGCACTCTGCTTTGGCAGCCTGGGGTTTGCAAGTTTGGATCCCAGGTGCAGACCCAGCATCACTCGTCAAGCCACACTGTGGCAGCATCCCACATAAAATAGAGGAAGACTAGCAACACATGTTAGCTCAGGGCCAATCTTCCTCACACAGAAAAAAAGGAAAGGAAAATTAAATAGGTATAGTTATATAATACTGTTTCTTACTATTTGCCACTTCAAAACTATATAATCCCTACATTATACTTAACACTTTACTAAGAAGTCATTTATTCTTGTGATTCTTTGGAAAATAATAATGGTTACACAATATTGATTTAATAAATAATCCTATTTGCTTCTTTTGAAACCTAATACATGGCTTGACTTTTCAAAATAACTATAAATGTGCTATTAAAAA